TGCATTTGGCCACAATGTACATTCCGCTGTATTCCGCTACCAGTGGAATTCCTTTGTAGTTCGCCACCAAGAAAATCCTTTCGAAATCCCCCACACAGGGAGGAATATTTCTGTATCCCGCCACAAATGGAACTCCTGATGTACTCTGTTACAAAAGGAATTGTTGTGTGCTCCGCCACAGAAGGAATTGCTTTGTATCCTGTCGCAGAAGGAATCCTTTTGTATTCCGCCACAAATGGGATTCTTTTGGATTCCGCTACAAAGCGAATCCTTTTGCATTCTGCCACAAAGGGATTCCTATTCAACTTGGTATAAAAATTGAAAACAAACAATGGCCAGGCACAGCGACCACAGCGTTTTTTTTTATTTAAACATACTGTATTATCATTGCCAGGCACAGCTACACAGCGCTTTAAATTACTCTGTTCATAGCCAGGCACAGCGATCACAGCGTTCCGAATTATTTCCCAATTATGGGTATTAAATTCAATCAGACGCTATGGTAACACAAGGTTTTCTTTGATTTGTTAATGCAACATATTAGAAAACCTTGTTTTTTTCACAGCGTTTTAATACATTGATACCCATAGTTGGGCAATCATTGAAAACACTATGATCGCTGTGTCTGGCTACGAAAAAAAGAAACATTATTATATGTGATCGCTGTGCCTGGCAATGACAAGCAATAGTTTTAAATTAAAGCGCTGTGATCGCTGTGCCTGGCCATGGTTCCCAATTCTTAAATTAATATCAATAAGATTCCTTTTGTGGCGGGATACAAAACAGGTTCACTGTGTGGCAGAATGCAAAAGGATTCCCTTTGTGGCGGAATACAAAAGAATCCCCTTGTGGCGGAATACAAAAGGACCCCCTATTGTGGCGGAATACAAAAGATTCCCCTGTGTTGCGGAATACAAGAGTATTCCATGTGTGGCGGAATACAAATGGATCACCTTTTTGTGGCGGAGTGCAAAAGGACTCCCGTTGTGGCAGGATAAAAAGGGATACCATTTGTGGCGGAATATAGAAGGATTTCTTTTTGCGGCGGGGTGCAAAAGGATTCCCTTTTGTAGCGGAATACAAGAGGAACCTATTTGTGGCAGAATACAACAAATTTCCCTGTGTGGCGGGATACAAACAGATTCCCTTTGTGGCGAAATGCAGAATGAATTACTGCGTGGAGGAATACAAAAGGATTCCTTTAGTTGAACCATATAAAGAATTCCGTTTCTGGCGGCCGCCCACCCCCCACATCCCAAGGACGACCCCCCACCTGACAACGAATGCAAAACAACTCCGTTGTAGGGCACTCTGCTCCGTATCAACATTGCTCGTCTTTGACATGGTGAACAGAACATAGGCAGCTACTAAGTTCCGCTTCTGATTATCGCTCTCACTGTGCCTGAACCTGAAGGCTGCTTCACGATGCCCTCGTGCTTAAAAGACGAGGTCCACTATGCGACGTGCTAGCCAAGACTGCGCTAAGAGGAAGAGAGAGGTCCGCCCGACTTGCGACCCTTCGAGGACGACCCCAACGAGGAAGCCCACGAACCTTTGTAAATCATGCGCGCTGCCATGTGGGGCATAAAGCAGGTGTGGCTGGTGGCGGAACGGCGAGCGCATAACGATCCCCGTCGCCAGAGTGGCCGCCGCCAAGCAGGCCATCTCATCTCGTCGGCCAGGTATGTGTCCGTTGGCTCCTCGGCATGGGCTCAGGCCCTCAGGGCGAGGAGCACCCCCTAGAGCCAAGAGGCCCACGGTCGACTCTTCTCCTGTGCCCTCCTCCTCATCATCTACCTCCTCCTCCTCCTCCTCCTCCTCCTCCTCCTCCTCCTCCTCCTCCTCTACCTCCTCCTCCTCCTCCTCCTTCTCCTCCTCCTCCCCCTCCGCCATGCTTCTCCTCCTCCTGCTCCCGTGTTGAACCATCCGCTTCCTGCCTAGACATGCGATGTTGTTCCCAACCCGCCCTTGGTTGGGTTCTCGTTTTACACAGAGCAACGCGGTCTCCACAGTGTCCTCCTCCTCCTCCTCCTCCTCCACCCCCTCCCCGCTCTCATCTGGGCTCTCTCCTCTCGCATCCCTCTTGGGGGCTGCGAAATGCGAAACTGTCGACACGTTCGAGGGCTGCTGGGGGAGCCAGCACAGTGAGGCAACACGCAGACCCAAACGAGACCTCGCCATCCCTGGGGGCTGCGAAATGTCAAACTGTCGTCACTTTCGAGGGCTGCTGGTGGAGACAACACAGTGGGGCCCCACGCAGATACAACCGAGACGTCGCCATCCATGGGGGGCTGCGTAATGTGAAACTGTCGCCACTTTCGAGGGCTGCTGGGGGAAGGAACACAATGGGGCCACACGAATACCCAAACGGAACCTCGCCATCCCCGGGGGTCTGCGACATGTGAAATTGTCGTCACTTTCGAGGGCTGCTGGAGGGCCACACGCAAACCCACAGGACCTCACAATCCCAGGGGGGCTGCGGAGTGTTAAACTGCCGCCACTTTCGAGGGCTGCTGGGGGAGCCAGCACAGTGGGGCCACACGCAAATCCAACCGAGACCTCGCCATTCCTGAGGGTCTGCGACATGTGAAATTGTCTCCACTTTCGAGGGTTGCTGGGCGGGCAGAAGTGGGGCCCCACGCAAATCCAAACGTGACCTCGCCATCCCTGGGGGGCTGCGAGATGTGAAAGTGTCGCCACTTTCGAGAGCTGCTGGGGAGCCAGCACAGTGGGATCTCGTGCAGATCCCAAAAAGACCTCGCTATCCTTGGGGGGGCTGCGAAAGGTGAAAAAGTCGCCACTTTCGAGGGCTGCTGGAGGGGCCAACACAGTGGGGTCCCACGCACATCCAAACCGGACCTTGCAATCCTGAAGGGGGGGGGCGCGAAGTGTGAAACGGTCGCCACTTTCGAGGGGGGGGCCAGGGACCTCGCCATCCCTGGGAGAGGGAGCTGCGAAGCGTGAAACGGTAGCCACTTTTGAAGGCTGCTGGGGGGGGGCAGCACAGTGGGGTCCCACGCAGACTTCAAAGACCTCGCCATCTCTGGGGGGGCTACGCAGTGTGAAACTGTCGCAGCTTTGAGGGCTGCTGAGGTGCGCAACACAGTGGAGCCCCACGCAGATCCGAAGGAGGAGGGGTGGGGGAGGAGGAGAAGGCGGAGGAGGATCAGAAGGAGGCGGAGCGCTGGCCGCGCATGTGCTGAGCATTTCGGCATGGAAAAACGCAACACTTCATTGTCTGGCTGCATCTCCGCCTGTGTAAGCTCATCTTGCCCATGCTCCATCACCTCGCTGCTTCTGCCGAGGTGATTGTTTTTCCATCCCGATGTCTTCCATTTGCTTCTCCTTCCCAATACAATGCCTCCTGGCCTTTTGTACCTCTGTTCTGCGAGTCGGCCACGCACACTTCGCACGATATAGATATCCGCCGTGCAGTCTCCTGCAGTGTTGCTGTCGCACGAGTGTCGAAACACCTTCTATCATCCCCTGGTGCCGATGGGTCGGGTACGTCGCAATGTAATTTATTCCCAATGCGGGGCCCCGGGACGTTCGAAACCTGGGACGGTACTGGGGCCCCTCGCGGGCCCCAAGAGGCCGAAACCAGTCAACAAAAAACCTCCTGACGTGTTTTTTCCACCGCGAGCATGTCTGGGTGTGCTTCCTCCTCCTCTCCCCTGGGGTGCTCTGGGGGCTCCCTCCGATCGGGGGTTGCTAAAGGTGCCCCTGGCCCAAGCTCCGCCCAGTTTTTTGCTCCATTTTGGAACCCCTGGAGGGGGGCTCTGGAGGCCTTGGCGGCCTCCTTGGAAATCCTGGTGGCACCTTGGGCCAGGGGCACTTCTAGCAGCACCCGATCCGAAGCAGCGGACAAGATCCCACCCGACCACCGCTGGCAAGCTGCAAGGGAGGAGGTCCCTACTCCTACTCGTCCAATGCCTGGTGCAGATCGGCACCCACATAAACCCCCACTCATCTGGAGCAAAGAGATCCGAATGTAACCTTTCTGCGCGGATTTCTTGGATCTGCACTGAGCGGCGCCGGAGGCGCCGCTGTGGGGGGTCCCAGCGCCGATCCCGATCCAAGGAATCCGCGCGGAGCTGCGGAAGCTTATGCGTTTGACATGGTCTGATCTTTCTTCTGCTTCAATCATCAACCTCATCAGTATCGTCATCATGATCATCAGCAACATCATCCTCATCATCAGCATCATCAGCATCGTCATCATCAGCCCGATCAGAATCAGCAGCAGCAGCATTATCATCATCATCAGCAGCAACAGCATAATCATCAGCAATCGCAACACCATCATCAACAGCAGCATCATCATCGTCAACATCATCATCACCATCATTACGAACAGCAGCATCACCATCATCAGCAACATCATCACACTCATCACTATCATCATCATCATCATCATCACCATCATAATCATCATCATCATCATCACCAGCATCATCAACACTATCAACTTCATCCTCAGCACCATCAACACCATCATCATCATCACCATCACCAGCAGCATCATCATCACAATCAGCATCAGCTGCATCATGATCAGCATCGTCATCTTACTCAGCATCATCATCATCACCATCATCATCATCATCATCATCACCAGCATCATCATCAGCAGCAGTTGCAGCATCATCAGCATAAGCATCATCATCATCAGCGTCATAATCAGCATCATCAGCATCAGCATCCTCTTTATCACTATCATCATCATCATCATCAGCAGCATCCTCATCCTCGTCCTCGTCCTCATCCTCTTCATCGTCATCACCATCATCATCAGCAGCATCATCATCAGCATGGGCATCAACATCAACATCATCATCATCAGCAGCATCATCAACATCATTATCATCATCATCACCACCACCACCATCATCATCATCATCATCATCATCATCATCATCATCATCATCATCACCATCACCCACTGGGGTGCGGGGGGGAACTCCCCACGCCGCTCCGCAGGTCTCTCGCGAGCTGGCGGCCTGTTGTTGAGGCGTACTCCACCCTCTCCACGTCGACGTAGTCTTCTGAGTCTTGGCGCCGGGTCCTTCCCTGGTCATCCCACCCTATGCCCCGGCAGAGAGAGGAAGCTGGGGGCCGGGGGGCGAGGAGCTGGTGGGGTGGGGGCGGGCCGGGGAAGGGGGACGGGGAGGGGGAGGAGGGGATGCGGGAGGGTGGGAGGGGAGGAAAGAGGTAGGGGCAAGAGCGGGAGGGAGGAGGCAAGAGTGGCGAGGGGGGGGCGGATGAAGGGAGGAACGAAGAGAGAGGGGGGTGAAAAAAGGTTGGGGAGGAGCGATGCCGGGATGACAGACGACGGAGAGGGGGCAGTGGGGAGGGAGGGGAAGGGCGCAGAAAACGAAAGCCATGGGATTCCCCAGCATATCCCCAGGACACTGCAGGACTACGGAGAAAATCCGCAAGAGTCCGTTTGGAAGTCCCTGAACTTCTCTGTCAACTGATGAGGTTTTTTAGGCCTCCTTGCATTGGACATGTTGACAAATTCTTGGGACACTTATGGGACCCCCGCAGGAACCAATCAGAAATATTGGACCTCTCGCTGCTCTTCGGAAATTGTGCAAAAAACAAGCTGAATATATTTGTGCATCGCGAGGTGAAACCCTGGAATCCTTACGCAATCCGTGGACACCCACTGAGCTCAGTCTTATGGCTCCCGAAGGATTCCACTAGAGACCTTCGGATTCCTCAAGAACCCTTCGGACATCATCAAGGTCATTCGGATTCCGTCTGGCCGATTGGAGACACCTCACGAACTCAATGCGGAATCCTGAGAACATTGTGGGGGGCCATCGGAGAAGCTGCTGAGATATCCCAGAGTCTTCAAGGGACGTTCTTTGGGAGTCCCCCTGGCTCCCCAGGAACTCCACTGGACATCTTCAGACTCTTGGGGACATGAAGCCAGGCGAGCGGCACAGCGCGTCGATGCGATACACATGCTGCACGGGGCACTCAGATATTCCTTCCAGCTCGGGTGTTGCCAGAGGCGAGGGGGAACGATAAGGGGGACTGGCTAGGGGGGAATATTGACTTGGAATTGGTGGTGCATCGCGGATAGATCGGCGATAGGCCCTCAATAATGAAGCCCCACGTTCCTGGGCGGGGTGGGGTATGAGGCCCGTGACAGCGATGAAAAAGCGATTGGAAGTCGACAAGATCAGTGAGCATCGTATCGGTAAATCGGATCGAATCGAAATGTGCATCGGATCGGGCTTCATCGGCACATCATAGAAACTACATCGGATCAGCTGCGCCAGGATGCGCAGCAACTACGTGCAATGTGCAAACATTGGGCCGCATCGGATCGTCTGAATATCTAAATCGAATCGGATCGGACCGGCCAGAATCGACATCGAAGCGGATGCATTCCGCCCTGGGCCTATTCTCCCCAAAACGTTGCCCCATATAAGGGTGTCCCTGGCACGAGGTGCCCCCTCTTCCGACGAGGCCCCCACGGCCTCCAGAGCAGTCCTCACGAGGCAGAGAGGACCCCATGGGGCTCCGTGATGGAGCGCGAAAGCTGGGGGGCACCTCCTGGGCCACGGGGCCAAAGTCCACGACCGAAAGACATATTTGAGCGAGCGGCCAGTGAAGGCGAATCAATCTTACCGTCTCCAGAATTGGCAGCAAGCACAAGGGGGTGGAGATAAGGGGGAAGGCTTCTCAGAAGGAGGCTGCCTCTTAGAAGGCGCCGGCCCTACATCTATAGATAAGGCCTGCGCCGTCTAAGAAGCAGGGTGCTTCTACGAAGCTCTCCCCCCTCCCCCCTCCCCCCCTCCCCCCCTCTGCGCGTGGCTGAATCTAGTCGTCTCCAGAAGCTGGCGGCCATCCCCCATCGGCTGGCAGCAGGCGGGGACAAGCTCGGCAAGCAGACGCATACCCAATCTATGAGCCCGGTCTCCTCGGTCAAGTCCGGCCCCGGGCTCGGAAGCGGCAGCCTTGCGGCGTCGCCGCAGCCTGGTGCCTGTGGGCGTTCGCTGGCAGGCTGGCGAAAGCTCAAAGACACCATATGTCGCCGCGCCTTTTTATTTGAACGCCCCCGGGTGGACGAAGCTGGCACCGCGGCAGACCCGCGGCAAACCTCGCGCCCGATGCAGAGTTTGGCCTGGTGGCCGAGGCGCCCTCCTCAAGACGTGAGGCCACGCGTCGGAACAAGCGGCGCGGCGACATACATCTTAAATGGGCTCCGTGGCTCTGCCAGCGACTCGGCCTGGGGAGCAGGGCGAAGCAGGGCGACGTGAGACTCCTCGTTCTCCACCTCTCGGAGCAGGCAGGGCGAGTTGAGGCAACGGCAGCTCATCGCGCGTCGCCCGCATTCCCTGGCGTATCGACGCTCAGTCTGAGACGGCAGCTGGGGTGTCTGCTTAACCTCCACGGCTACATGCCCTCAATCAAGAGGACCAGGGTGAGGGAAGGAACCTAACAGGCCTCTCCCTCTTGGTCTGCTGGGGATGCCTGCCTTGACAGAGATACAGAGACAAACGGCGGCTGGGATCGAGAGAGTGCAATACGCGGGGCGCCCCAGCCATTATGTCAAGGGCCCGTTCTGGGAGACGCGGCTGGGCGACTTCCAGCAAGCACAGCATCAGTCGACTGTCATTATGGTCTGCACTTGCACCTACCCCACTCACTGCCCATGCCTGGTGTTAGTACCGCGTGCTTTCCTAGGTCCAGGCGCCTAATGTCTCTTTCCTGTGATCATGATGGTCCTCCTCCTCCTCGCCCTCTTCATCGTGCTCCTCCCCCTGGCATTCCGAGTGCGCCTTCCCATCCAAGCCCATTCGTCCCCTCCCGTTGTATCTCATCTTGATCCCCTTCTCAATATGCAGCACTCGCGTGCACAGATCCGACTGCTACGCTGGTAACGTCGAGAGCGATGAGCGCTGCACACGAGCAACACTCCCCCCCCGCTTGTAGCACGCCGAGAGCATCAGGCCTCTCCGAGACCGGCGTCGGCCAGCGCCCCTCGGATGCTCGCGCGCTGCTTGGCGCGAAGACCTTCATCTCGAGAGGAACGGCGAAGCGGGCGGTGGAGATCGCGGAACAACGCTTGGCGGCGCGCGCAAGGGGGTAGGGGGAGGGGAGAAGGCTTCTTAGAATGCGCCGCCCTACATCTATAGATAAGGCCCGCGCCTTCTAAGAAGAAGGGTGCTTGTAATTAAGAAGCCCAGCCACCCCCTCCCCCCCTCTGCGCGTGGCTGAAACACGGAGGGGTAAGGTGAGGCAGGCTGCGGGAGGCCCAAAGGCACCTCAGGCCCACACACCCCAGAAGGCACACAGGAAGCTTCAAGAGAAGCAAGCGGGCGCTGCGAGAGAGGCCGGGGATGGCCAGAGAAGCAGACTCCCACAGGTGTTTCGATGTGTTTAGCGTGCTCGGCCTGCTCAGCAAGGCGCCAACATGGCCGCAGCGAGCTGGCAACATCTGTCCCTGCAAAGTACAGTGGTCGTTATCGCAATAAGCCTCCACCCCTCCCAAAACACGCACAACCACAACATGACCAGAAGAACACGGGTCGATAACATGAGCTCCTTCGCAGAAGACCTACGGCCTCATTCCCTACCTAGGCTCTGCCTTGAAGGGTTCTTACTCTCTTTCTTAAAGGGGCCGGGCAGTGCAAAGCGCCCCGGGCGGTTCCCCCGGTATCCGCCCCGCGGTTCCCCCAGTTACGCCCCCTGGGCTCACCCAGCTTAGCTTAGCTAAGCTTAGCTTAGCTTATCTCATCTTAGCTTAGCTTAGCTGTGCCTAGTCTAGCTTAGCTTAGCTGAGCTGAGCTGAGCTTAGCATATATCATATTAGCGTAGCTTGGCTTAGCTTAGCTTAGCCTAGCCTGGCCTAGCTTAGCTTAGCTTAGCACAGCTTAACGTACATTAGCTTAGCTTAGCGCAGCATAGCGCAGCGCAGCATTAGCACAGCATATCATACCATAGCCAATCATATCATAGCATAACATAGCTTATCATATCATAGCATAGCGCAGCATAGCATAGCATAGCATAGCATAGCATAGCATAGCATAGCATAGCATTGCTTAGCATCGCACAACGCAGCATAGCATAGCCCAGCACAATATAGCACAGCATAGCCTAGCTTAGCATAGCGCAGCATATCATATCATAACATTGCATAGCACAGCATAGCAGTAGGTGTAGGTGTAGGTGTAGGTGTAGATGTATATGTAGATGCATATGTAGATGTAGGTGTATGTGTAGATGTAGATGTGAGTCTCGCTGTCGATGTTGATGTAGATGTAGATGCAGGTGTAGATGTAAATGTAGCTGTCGGTATAGATGTAGATGTTGCTTTTCTAAATGCTCCAACTCCTAGGTCGGGTCGCACTGGGATAATGCAGCGTAAATTCAGAAACGGCTTCATGTTCACGAGTTCCATTGGCGAAGCGCCAAGCTTTCCTCGAGCACTTCTGGTTGACCAGTGGCCGCGGCAGGAACCTTGGTCCCAATTCGAACCCCTCTCTTCTTCTTCTTCTTCTTATTATTATTGTTATTATTATTATTATTGTTACTATTATTAGTATTATTATTATTAGTATTATTATGTTTCTTCTTCTTCTTCTTCTTCTTCATCTTCTTCTTCATACCATCACTACAAACGGGCCGCTGACATGAGGAACATTAAATAAGGAACGAAGCCCCTTTTTGGTCCCCAAAAACGCCTGCGTGCTCGAGGACCGCTAGAGAAACAGCCATGGAAGGATCAGAGGAACACCGACCCCCTTCCGAACCCAAACTGTTCCTTCTTTCAGCGTCTTGGCTGCACTCGTTCTCTGCCTCCTCCAGCGCCTCCTGACGCCCTCACTCCGAGCCGGCCGAGCCGGTCTCCGGCGGCCCTCAAGTCCGAAAAGAGCCCCCAGACGCCGGGAGTGATGAGAAGATCCGTCGTGATGTGTTGCCTCGAGATGTATAGGAGGTCTGGGGGGTCACCTTCGGCCAGAGGCCGACAAACGTCTACCCCGAGACCCGTACTTGGGGTGCGTTCTGGCCAGAAAGTCGAAGCGACTCCAGCCGTGGCAACGAAGTATCTCCCCGAGGCCTGAAGAGACCAAAAACCTGGACCCTCGATCCTCGAACCACCTCGATATCGATCCTCATCCTGTGGGAGGTCCAGGAGCACCGAGAACGCTTGGAACCGCACTGGAGCTGCCATCAAGGAGAAAGTGGTCCTGCGGGGAACTGGTCCTGGACACCGGTGCCTTCCCAGTGGGGAGGGGACAAAAAGGTACTGGGCACTGGAACCGCTACTCCACAGACCTCTCCAGGGGTGCGTTCTGACTCAAGTTTCGATGCGAATCTAGCCGTGGCGACCACGGAAGAATAGTTTTACCAGTATATGTTCCTTCCCTGACCTTCGGGACCATCTCGTCGTCCCAAATCTTTCTTGGACGGCCCCCTGGCCCGTCAAGTGCAGTCGGGAGCTCGAAACACCTCAGGGAAACTTCCAGAGGACCCGTCCCGCTACAGGATAGTCCAGCCATCGTGCTGCCCCAAAGAACGCTGACTAAGAAAGGAAGGGGCTTTTCTGGCCACGGCGTGGATCCTGGCGCGGTGCTGGCGGTTGGTGCTGCTGACTCAGCCAGGGAAATGGAGGAGGAGGAGGGAAGGGACGAGGACGAAACGATGACGGCGAGGGACGCGAGCATGCAGGAGTTGCACGGTGCGTCCCCCGGGCCATCCTATCTTGGCGGTGCAGTCGGCGCCGCTGCTGCCTCGGGGAATGCTGCGGGCGCTGATGGTGTTCCTCCCGCGCCTGCCTTGGCTCCCGGAGCCGCCCCGCGGACCAAGGTGCGCGCGTGGACGGCGACCTTGCAGCTGGTGCGCCGGCACGTGGCCCTCTGCTACATGTGCTGCGAGGGGTTCGGCCACCGAGAACTACGGCTGGCCAGCCGTGCCAATCCGGACCGTTACCTCAGGCACCCTGCCTGCATCCCCGCAGGCACCGTGGAAGGCCTTGCGGCGCTGCCCGAGGAGGCGCGGGCGCAGGTCTTAGCCTGCGTGGTGGGCGGTGCGGCTGGGGCGGCCGCCGCGAGCCCACTGGCAGCTGGCGCCCGCGAGGCGGCGAACGCGAAGGAGGACGACCACGCGCCAGCGGGCGACCTGGAGTTTCGCCACACGGTGGCGGCTGAGCGGGGCGAGTTCCCTGGGCTCCCGCGGTGGGACACGCTGGACCTGGCAGGCGCGTTCCGCGAGCAGCTAGTGCCGACCTGGACGGCTGTCCCTGACGGCCTCACAGCAGCCGTGGGCGACTTGCTGGCAGCGGCGCTCAAGGCGGTCGCTGTGCTGCCAGCCCGGGAGGGCGCCTGGGCGCGACTGCTCCTTTTGCCGCGCCTGCTCTTTGCCGTCCGCCCCAGGTCGCGTCTGCTGGGTGACTGGGCCGGCTTCTGGGCGGCGACGGCGCGCCCGGGCGACGGCGACGGAGGTGGCCGTCGCCCACCAGACCTGGCGGCGCAGGCCCACATGGTGCACGAGCGGCCGATGCTCGGGGAGGTGTCCCGGGCCGCCGCGGCCGCCGGAGGCCCAGGGAAACTCGCCTCAGGGGCCGGCGTGGGCTCCCAGCTCACCGCGCTCTTCCCTCCCGCATGCGGGCCGCGGGCGCGCGCGCCGCCGTTGCCGCAGGCGGGCAACTGGGAGAAGGCAGCTGCAGAAAAAATGGCGCGATCCCTCAAGAAGTTCCCACGGCACTCCGGCCCGGGGCTCGCTGGCGCCCGCTTCGAACATTGGGCAGCAACCATACGCGGCCACGCGGAAGGCAAGGCGGCGCTGGTCGAGGCGCTGGGCTGTATCCTGCGCGGCAAGGCGCCCGCGTCGGCAGCACAGGCGCTGCTTGGCGGCCGGGTGATCCCGCTCCAGAAGCCACAGGGCGGGGTGCGCGGCCCCTCGCCTGCGGGGAGACGCTGCGCTGCGCCGCATGGCGGCGAAGGCGGCGACTGCGCAGCACAAGGAGCTCATCGCCCAGGCGGTGGGGCCCTGCCAGTACGGCGTTGGGCGGCGCAACGGCGTCGAGCTGCTGCACAAGGTGGTGGCCTGCTCCGTGGAGAGAGTGACAGACGCCTTCAACGAGGTCGACCGGGACGCCTTCGTCCGCGAGGTCTCGCACAGGCTCCCGCCCCTCGCGCGCCTCGCAGCTGCGTGGTACGGCGGGACGACCACGCACGGCGCGCACCTCTCAGGCGCTGTCACCCCGGTGGCAGTAGAGCGGGGGCTCGACCAAGGGTGCCCCCCCTCGCTGGCCTTCTTCGCCACAACCACGGCGGCCCTCCACGAGGACCTGGAGCACGCGCTGCGGCGGGACACGGGCGCCATCGTGGTGGCGAGCCTGGACGACGTCTACCTCGCGGGCGCACCAGAGGCTCTCGCCGCCGCCAAAGCAGCCGCGCAAGGTTTCTACGCAGCGCGCGGGCTCTGACTCGACGAGGACAAAACCAAGGTGTGGAACCCGCACAACTTGCAGCTGTCGCAGACACTGGCCGAGGCGGAGACCCCCGAGCTCACTTGCGCGGGCAGCCGCTTACTTTTTTCTCGTCGTGTAAGATTACGGCAACAATGTGGACCGTCCGCATGCGTCCCTGAACGGTCCTGCTACAGTGCTGCAATCACTCCCGTCGTGGTGCGTGATGCTGTGCAACTCTGGACCTGCGAGCCGTGGCCCCTGACCCAGGCCGGAGTAGAAGTGAATGAAAACGGCGTGGCGTTGCCGCTCCTGGCCGCTTTCCCGGTGCCATGCGCGTCGGAAACACGACGGGCCAGGACGCCCGGTAACGAGAAGGAGGAAGAGGAGGAGGAGGAGGAGGAGGAGGAGGAGGAGGAGGAGGAGGAGGAGGAACGCTGAAGAAACTGGACAGACGCAGGTGTGCGGCCCAACTACCCAGCGCGCAGTGTCGCGACGGCCTGGAAAAGAAAGAAGGTTTTAACATTGTACCGACAGATTTCAATACAAATGACCCGGCACACAGGGAGGGGGGAGGAGGGAGGGAGGAGGAGGAGGAGACGGAGGAGGA